TTGCTCCATCCACCACACCTTCAACGTAGGGAGGGTATTTGTCTGGCCGGGTCAAGCCGAGCCGGGTTAGGTTTGATTCGAGTTGATATTATATGATAAAGAATTTTTGTGCCTGTCCAAATCCAATCTGGGCTTAATATTGGGCATCTACATTTGTCCAAGCCAAGCTCAAAAAATAATTATAAATCACAAACTCACCCATCAGGCTATATATTAAAAAAAAATTAAAACATTCCATAGTTAAATTTAATTACACATTATATTTATTAAATAAATATATTGGCATCATAATAAATTAAAAAAATTTGTGTATGAATTAAAAGTTTTCTTAAATAAATTGAATCACACATCACTATAAATGTGAATTTCAATAAAATCAACAAATATAAAGTTTAGATTTCAACAAAAATAAATTTTTTTAGATATATATAATTAATTAATTAATTTAATAGTGGCGCGGGGTGGACTGGGCAGAGTTGAAAATATAAATTTTAAACCCAACTTATTAACATATCGAGTTGAAATTTTTAACTCAATCCGAATCTATAAATTAAAATAACCTTATCAAACCATAAAAGAAAAAAACTGGACCAAACGGACTAGGGAACATACTAAGGCCCTGTTTGTTTTTCTCTGTCACAGTCCACTCCGGATTGTGAATGATGAACAATGAAGATGCCTCGTGTTTGTTTTGGTTCTAGAGCTCCGGATTCGTAGTCTTCTCTTCGGACTACAATAGGCCTTGGCGAGGATATTGTTAATTTGGGCGATGAGGTGGTATTAGAAAATAGTTCGTTCGACTTAGAGTGTTACTAGTTGTCCGCTCGGACTTCTGGCCAAACGTCCAGCCGATCAACCGCTCAATTACAATTTTTTTATTTTATTTTATTTTTATACATGTTGGGCATTTTATTTTTTGAACATTAATGTTTAATGTTTTTGGTTTTTTTGTTTGTTAAGTAAAAATCATAATTTAATTTGTTTTATTATTTTATATTTATTTTATTTAATAATTCCTATACTAATAACTATCATTAAAATAAACACAATTTTACTAATCCACTCACTATCAATCCCTTCTATTCTGTTTCTAAAAACAAACGAACCCCAATACCCACCAACTTCCCCCCATTTAGGGTTGGGTATAGGGTTATCTGACCCGCCTAACCTGAATCGACCCGCATACAAACGGGCAATTTCATAGACACTATGCGGCGCGGATGTAGTTTGGAATATAGCATGATTGCAGGTTATGGACGGGTTGCGGGTTTAACCCGCACCCACAAGAATTCACCCGCACTTAGAATTTTTTAAATTTAAAAAAAAAAACCCGGACCGTTATTATTTTATTATTGCATTTTGGATGAATGTAAAAATTAATGAAGAATTATTTTTAGGTAAGTTTAGGATTTTAAATGATTTTACTTTAATTGTATTGTTGGGTAGTAGATAGTGTATGATATTGATGATCTAGTTTAGAATTTTAAAAGATGTGCTTGTGTTAGTTTATGATTTGATTTAAAAGTTTAGAATTTTGAATAATTTGTTTGTATTAGGAATTGATTTTGTTGTGTTTTTAATTTTATAAATTTTAATTCATTAATTATTAATGTTGGATCATTTTAGAAAATAGGGAAAAATGACTCAAAATAAATATTTATAGAATGGGAAAAAAAGTTTCAAAATAAATTTTTAAAGAAAAAAGTTTAATCCGCAAACCGTCCGCAGCTGCTTGCATATCCGCGCAAACCGTAACCCGCACTGTGGGCGATTGCGAGTTGAATTTTCTCCAAACCGCATACATGCGAGTGGGTCTAAACCGATCTGTAAACTATCCAAAACTGAACCGCGACCAGCCTTACCCCGTTTCTTTTCTCACTCTCATAATTAATACACCCACAGTTTACAAATCTGTTAACACTTTGATAGTTTACCACACAATTTAACTTTAGGAAAATGTTATGCGTCTAAGAATTTTTATCAAATAAATAATTAAATATCTCACATGAATGTGAAGTTCACAGCATAAATGTAAAGTTCACAATTCATGTGAGATATGTGATCATTTATTTGATAAAAAATTTGATATTCTTAACATTAGTCTTAACTTTATGCATTAAAACTTAATAAAATAAAATAAATAAATAAATAAATAAATAAATAGAAATTAGTCCTAACTGTTAGCATATGATATTGATGGTTGCTTAACCCATCCACTGTGGATGTCCTTACCTACGCCAATTCCCTTCCTCCTCCTATTGTCTCTCTACCTAATTTTCTATTGGGACAATTTCCCTGATAAGGTGTCAGTGTAAATTAATTATAAACAAATAAAAAAATCATAATTATAACTATTAATATTTATAATATTTTCACTTTGAAATTAATTTTTCTTGACTTCACTATACGATTATTTCTCATTTTTATTTTTTATTTTTACTTACTATAAAACTAATAACCATTTCAATTTTCAAACATATCATCCTAACGTCATTCTTGACATTTCTCAACTTAACAAATAATACTCTTAATTGATGCAGAGTTTATTCAACTGTTTATAATTTTTATTTTTATTTTTTAAATTTGTTATAGTATTTAATATAATTTTTGCCATAATTTATGAAACAAAAATAATTTAAATAAATTAAAAAACTATTATCTCAAAACAAGAGTTCTTTTAATTTCTACTTTGTAATTATCTCAACTTTCAACTTAAAAAAAAAAAAGAAAAAAGAAACAAACCAACGATGAACATAATTAATTTACTTAACTTTGAGGTTTTCAACTCAAAAAATGAAATTTATTTAACCCTAGTTGGTTGAGTAAAACTCAAACCCCCAAAACAAAATTAAAAAAATTGTTTATGTTAAAAGTATTTGCTTTTATTTTTAAAATGTATTAAAAATACAATATAATGTTTGTTGCTTAAATAAGTTTGAATAATAACATATGCATATGATACTAATTGAACTTTTTAAGTAAAAATGAGTTTTGCTGATTAGTGGTAGGACTAAGAGAGTGACAAAAAGAGGAGGAGGAAGTGATGAATAGTGGTATAGGCGGTTCAAGCAGAGAGAGGGATGGTTGGATAGAGAAGGAATTGGAAGTAAAGGAGATGGACGAATAGGTGTACTTATAACAAACTTAATTTAGGTTTTTCAAAACTGTTAATTATGTTTAAAAGTAAAATCATAATAAAAAGTTGTTAATTATGGATGTAGTTAGAATAAAAGCTAAAATTTTGTTAATTTTGTTTAATAAAAAAATTTAATAAATAGTAATTGTGTGCACAAATAAAAGCTCTCGTTAACTCTAGTTTTGTGTCAATTTGTCTTTGATAATTGCTTAATTGTTTTGGATGTCCTAAATAGTATACTTTTTGATTTTTTATGAAATATGAGTTGGATTTGAAGTGATGTGGTAGAGAGATGATATAACTTAAATAGGATAATATGACTAAAATAAGATATAGACTTTTTAAGTTTTTGATTTTTTTTAAAGATGCCAAACCAATCCCAAGTCTTTGTCCGTATACTAGTGCACTAACGTGATCATGAAAATATATCATGTCGTTAAACAGTAAAATGGGAATAAGTTTGATTTGGGTTTTTGTCGTAGAGCGTAATTATATTTGAAAGTAAAATCATAATAACAAACTTATTAAATGTGGATGTAATTTGAATAAAATTTAAAATTTTATTAATGCCTTTAACGAAAAAAATATAAAATAATAATTATGTGAACAATTTTTTTTTTTTTTTTTAAAAAAAAAAAAACTCTGATTAACTAGCCCGACTCTAATCTCTTGCTAGCATATCTATAACAACAGGCAATAAGTCTTATATGTACTAGTATATTACTGTATTAATGGGATCACAAAATTTATTTAACTCCTTAAGGCATGTATGATTGGATGAATTAGAGCATGAGATTGAGATTATTAATATGTGAGCCCAATTATTTAATGTTTGTTTTAATATTTTGGTTTAGGATTATTAATCCAATGGATAATTAATCTAACAAATTTGTAGGATTATTAGTAATGGGATAGGGGGTAGGATTATTAATCCAATGGATAATTAATCTAATTGAATAGTGATTACCACACTAATTTGATAGGATTATTAATACTTTACTATTAATCTTCTGAATCAAACATGGCCTTAAAATCTTATTGCTTTTATTTTCTTGATTTGTATGTTATTTTTTTTGTATTTTAATATATTTGTTCTAAAAAAAAAGATAGATAACAAAAAAGAATAGAATATAACACCGGCCAATAATTAAAAATGAATATACACAGAACAATCTTGATTTGGATTTTATCATAAATGATAAATTGCAATAAAAAATATATTAAATTTGGATGTAGTTAGAAAAATGTAAAATTTTATTAATTGTACTTAGGCATGGTTTGGAAAGTTGATTTTGGTGGATTAGAGATTAAAATAGTCACAAAAAATAAAATAGGTTACAAAAAAACAAAATATCAAATCCAACCCATAATCATTACACTCCCTTCTCACAAAAAAAAGTTAAAAAAGTCAAAAAGTTCTTCTCAAACCAGGCTTTTTAGCCCCAGGCTAGGCCTCGTTTGGAAACAGGCTAATTTAGTAACTTTTTGGCTATTTAGCTAAAATATGAGCTAAAAAAACTAGTATGTTTGGGATGACTTTTTGACTTTTTACGAAAAGATGTGCAAAAAGTAGAGAGAAAAGAGAATCTTTGACTTTTTGGTATGAGTTGTTGACTTTTTTGTTACTAAACTTTTTGACTAAAAGAGAAGGTTCCCAAACGAGACTTAAAATAACTAAAAAATTAAAAAATTAAAAAACCAACCCACTTTTTCAACGGAATATATTTTTTATTTGATTAAATGGTAATTATTAATTTATTATGTGCACAAACAAAATCTCACCGCCACCAGCGTGGCCTGGACAACAGCCCAGCACAGAAAACTTGTGTGTGCCCATAGACTACTACTACTACGGAGGAGGAGGAGACCACAAAACGGATTAGGACAATAACGCCGTTAATCAGTTAACGGCGACCAGAGTCTCTTTCTCTTTCTTTCTTTCTTTCTTTCTCTCTCTCTCTCTCTCTTCATGATTTCTTTGTCTCTCTCTCTCTCATCTCATCTCATCTCCTGATCACCAAACCCACCATCGGAGGTCACGCCTTGTCTTGTGTTTGTTAAATCGGGTCTGTTCTAGTCTGCTCTATTCTATATTATTATTTCTTCTTTTTATTTTTTAATTATCTGTTTCAAAAATCAGAGCGATCTGTTGTTCTCTCAGAGGGGGCGAGGAGGAATCTCGCCGGGAGGGTACCGTCGCTCGCCGGAAACTCCATGAATTCCGGCAAGAGGCTCTGAATCGTCCGGCGAGAGGAGAGAGAGAGAGAGAGAGAGAGAGAGAGAGGAGAGAGAGACAGACAGAGACAGTTGGTTTCTTGTTGTTAGGGGGAAAAAGAAGATTAAAAAAATTGGGAGAATACATGTGGTTAACGTGCAATGTAGGAAGGGAAAAAAGAAGAGAGAGAGAGAGAAAGAGAGAGAAGGCATCAAGGCTTTGGAGGTTCTTGCACGGAACAGATGCTTAGATCCCTTATTCAATCTCCTTCCCTCCCTTGCCTTATGCCGTAATTCATTCTATTTCTCTTCCCTCTCTCTCAATCCTTAGCCTTCCTTTGCCTTCAATTCGTTTAAATTCTTCGCCTATGTGTCTTTGTTTCTCTCTCCCAATTTCATTTCCACAGTTGCAAGTTCAGTTTTTTTGACTCTCCCTCAGATGGCTTTCATTTTCAATTTTTAAAATAAAAGGTATGTCATTTTTATTTTTATTTTTATTTTTTGGGTTGAATTCTTGTTGCATTTGCTATTTTTGGGTAGTTTTCATGCTTCGATCCTTTGATCGGTTGTGTTTTTGCTTCCAAGTTGGTACCTTTATCGAATTTAACAATGTATGCTGTGCGATCTGCTGTTTGAATTTGCTGCCTCTTCTGTCTGATTTTGAATTCGACCTGATCTTTCCTTTTTGGGCTCTTTCGTTTTAAATTTCTCTCTTGTTTTAGACCTGAAGTGAAGTTAATTTTTTTCCTTTTAATAAAAATAAAAATAAAAATGAAAAAAAAAAATCTTACTTGAGCATAGCTCGTGCATTTATCAAAATTGAAGAATTCATTTTGGTAGCTGTTGAGTTTTGAGAATTATGCCTCTCCTTTGGTCAAAATCCTCAATTCAAATTAGCTGCCTTTTCAATTTAAGTTCTTTAAACGTGTCTTTTTTAGTGAATAATTTGCAGGGAGCTTCCTTCTCATTAGATTTGAGAGTTTACTTAATTCTGATTATTTTTTTTCTTCTCAAAAATTAAATTCAGTACTTGTTCCTGCGTGATGAAGATGTTTAAAGTTTTCTTTTATCCATTTCCATCTCTCTGATGCTTGCCTGGTGTAAAGAAGTAGGTGGTTTTTCTTTCTGGTGACTAATTGTCTTTCAGGGGTTTATTAGTTGCTCATTTTTAATTCCTGTTATAATGATGTATCATTTTGTGTATATTCCATGCAGATTTTTTTCTCCAACAAGTCTTGAAACTTTTCAATTGTCTATAGAATTGAAGCATTGGTGAAAGCCAGTGAACGAACAGTATTCAATTTTCCTGTGATTTTTTGATTCTGGCTTCACCATGCTGTCGGAAATGATGGACCTAAATGGCTTGTCATCATCATCGTCTTTCTTCTCTGAGGAATTGTGTTTTCCTAATGAGGTAATGATTGCTTGTACATTGATCAATTCTGTCCTTATTGAGCAATTCATAGGTGTAAATTTTTGTTAAGAACTCAATTAATGCGGAAGTTCAACCTTCGGGGTTTGGACTTTCTTACTTAAAATTCTGTGGTAATATTTGTCTTTTTAACATATTGTCGCTCCAGTTGTCATTTGTCCTTTCTATTTCTACACTTGGCAGAGACAGGTTGGGTTCTGGAAGACAGAAAACATGCCTGATCACTATAGTAATATATCTATCTCTTGTGGGTCTCATAGTTTCGGTCCACAGACAGCATGATCATTTTATTGTTGAAAGCCTAGAAATTTAGCAATGATCATCTGGTCAACGATTTGCTTTTACGGCTCTTACCTTGTCAACTCAAGATACCATTTTCTCCAAACTGGACTTAAGGGATCCGATCTGTTTGTTTGGCCCACTGTGTCTCAATAGAAGCTTTTTCTTTTGGAAAGTTATTATCATTTGCATGCAATGAATCTGGAAATTTTCAACTCTCCCTCCCATCAATATGTTTCAAATAATTTGATTGAATCCCACATAGAATTTTGTAGGTTCTTTTTGAAATTTTTTCTCCTATAAATAGGAATAGACTTTCATAATCTTCTCCAACTTCCAATGAGACTCTTTCTTATGAGAGGAGACTCTTGAAGTAAGAATTTTTAGTCAAAATTTTAAAATATATTTATAATTAATATATATATATATATATATATAAATATATAAGAAAGAAAAGAAAGAAAGAAAAAAAAAATAAAAAAAATCGCCGGTCTGACTCGCCGAGAACCGGTCCGGTTCACCGGTTATCCCGGTTCAACCGCCGGTTCTGGCGGTTTTCAATTTCCAGGCCGGTTTTGCTCACAGTCCGGTTCTGAAGGGTTGACCGGACCGGAGCCAGGCCCGGTTCCCGGTCCAACCGGTTCGACCGGCCGGTCCGGTCCGGGTTTCACAACATTGCACTATAGTAATATATCTATCTCTTGTGGGTCTCATAGTTTCGGTCCACAGACAGCATGATCATTTTATTGTTGAAAGCCTAGAAATTTAGCAATGATCATCTGGTCAACGATTTGCTTTTACGGCTCTTACCTTGTCAACTCAAGATACCATTTTCTCCAAACTGGACTTAAGGGATCCGATCTGTTTGTTTGGCCCACTGTGTCTCAATAGAAGCTTTTTCTTTTGGAAAGTTATTATCATTTGCATGCAATGAATCTGTAATATCTCCTTTAGGAATTGCTTCCACATGGTTGTCTCTATTTAGGCACCTGATTGTGTGCTTGATGTGCAATCATTTTACATTTAATAGGGATTCTATTAATCATAGAATATGGACAGGTTGGATGGATTCTAGTATTCCTAAAGTGTGAATGATCGCTGAATATATGTGACATATTCCAGACTATACTTAGTTTTTGGACATGTTTCCAATAGAAGGATAGATTCCACTTCTTGTTCTCATTTATTGATTCTTGTCTGCACATCGTGGTGTACAATCTCCCGAGTCGAGACATCTAATGAGAGATTGGAGATTCTCAATATGTATCCTAGTAAGGCTGTATGACCTTTGATGGGAAGAAATTCTCGTCATAGGATGAACAGAAATGGCTTCATGTTGTTTGTTGATTATAATGTTGAAATTTGTAAGGTATTTGAATAGTTTACTTTTGAATGAATTATTGAAACTTATCCAATTAGAATCCCCCCCTCCTGCATGGTTGGGTCGTGCTTCCCTAGTAGAATTTAGGACACCTGTGTGTTTGTTGTCATGACCTGCTTTATTGGCACCTAAGAATTTACAATTCTTCTGTTCTGATCTTAGTGATTTAAAAAAGTAATCTGATCTACTTTGAGGGTAGAACACCATGAATTAGAGCATAAATAGGGATAAAACTGAGGTAGGTTGAGTTGGGGTACTGGACTGCTCACCCATAATGGTCAGTACATATCCATAAGTGAAAAAGGTTTGGTCTATTCAGGTTTTGGTCAATAGGGTTTTGCGTTATGACTCGTAACAGTGATATGTTATGTATATATAAATATTTTTTGTTTAACCTATTATCATCAATACTCTAGCCCTATTTGGTAGAGCTTTTTTTAAGATAAAATCTGACAATCAGAAGGAAGAAGCTAAAAGCATCCCTCCCCTAGTTTCTAAAAATTCAATTTTTTCTAGTTTATTTAAGTTATTTCTGCCTAATAAGCTATAAGCTGAAGCTACACCAAACAATCTGGCATAGACTCCCAAATTAGAATAAGCTATAATCAGCTTATGGAAGCTGCAACAAACAGCCCCTCTGTAAATGATGGTGGAGCATGTGTCCAATATTTTGTAAGTGTTTTTCTTGTTATGGTTTGTTGATTCATAGTTTTCTGACAGAGTGGGGCAGGTAGGCTGAGTGGGAGGAGTAGTTTGGCATTGTCTTGTGAAGGACCTAATTGGTTGCCATTTAAAGCTTGAATTAGGAGTTAGGACTGTAGTGATCAAAGCAGGAATACAGAATGAGCATAAAAAATGCAATTTGCATTGGTGAAAGTTGGTGTGATCTAGGAAATCTATGTGGCTAGAACATATTTGAGAAGTTTATAGAAAATAATTGCCAGAACTATGTAAGGAGTGCATCAGAAGTATTGATAAGTAGAATTTAGTATATAAGAACTAGGTTGGATCTCAAGTGAAGAATTGAAATGGTTTTAATTTACCTCAATCATCAGTACTAATTAAAAACAGCTTAAAATAATTTTAGAAGCATAATTACAGAATAGTAAAAGTTTGAGTAAATATTTAGATGCTCAGACTTTGGAAGTTTGGCATTAGATTGAAAAGGAAAGAGATGAGTAGCAAGGATCAGGTGCATTCTTCGTTATGATATTTAGAGGCATGTTGCTTCCATGTTTGAAACATTCCCATGTGAAAGTTGAGACAATGAAGAGTTTCATAATTATTACTGAGCACAAAACAATACTTAATGAACCTACACCTGAAGACATAAACATGCTCTGAAATTATTCAAACCGTTCGAATTCTCAAAAACTGAGTATAAAAATGAGAGATGAGAAAATGAAGAAAGAATCACAGTTAAAAATTTGAAATCTTGAAGAAGGAGAGTGTCACATTCCGAAAATGCCCCCATAATTGAATTTAGGGGCAGCTTTCCTTGGGCTGCTGATCCACAATATGTGGGTTTACTAAATAAGTGATATCATCATTGATTTCCATGATAGAAGTAAATAATCTTTTTTGCCCTTTTGTCAAGACACAAACCTGTTGGATTTCCTTTGATGAATTTTTGGAAGAATTTTTCAATTTTTGATTTTATGTTGAAGACTATCATAATTCTTATGTTTCATGGTACAGCGTGAGACTGCTAAAAGAATTGACAAATATGATGAATGGGCTCTTATTGTATTCCTTCGTTGAAAGGCCCACAAGAGGAGGCCTACAATTGGTTTTCTGTGTTTCTGCACAATCAATGCATTCAATATTGGTTTTGTTGATTTAGCTTGTAAGCTTTTTGAACTGTTCTTGAACTAATATCATGCTATGTGAATGCTTACCTTTATTCAGGTGTAAAAATGGACGGAGTATTAGGAACAGCAGGCGGAAATTCAGTTGTCTCATCACCCCTCGAGAAACGGATGTCAGTCAAATCTCAGATGGTCAAGTCTTTCGAACTTTTTGATCCATATCTAATCCGAGACCAGAAAGTTAATCTTAGCTCAGAGAAGAATGCAGTGGGAGCAGAGAGAGCAGTCAGTCGCTCCTTGCAGAGACCTATTGACCATGATTCAGGAATGAGATCTAATTTCAATATAGCGCCAGCATCTTATTCTATGGAAGGTGATGAAAATCGTGTCATGGGCACACAGTACGAGAACGGTCTCTTCTCAAGCTCATTGTCAGAATTGTTTAGCAGAAAAAGTAAGCCTTCCAAAACAAGAAAAATCCAACTGATAATCACTGCTGGTTTATTTAGAAAGTCCTCCATGCTTGTGCTCGCTAACATAACTTTTTTTTTTGAGCTGTGCTTGCTAACATACTTGAACTGTTAAATTTTGTCCCACTACTGATTGGATTGATATCTGGAATCAGTTCCTAGTTCTTCGTTTTTTTTTAAAGCTAGATGCAATTGCTGATTCATTGTTCCCTTTGTTTTAATATGGGTTTTTATGTTGCAGTGAGATTAACATCAAATAATGGTTTTAATGCCCATTCTGTTGGTGCTGCTGCCTCCCATTATGAGGAAGATGAACCTTTTGAATCCCTTGAGGAAATTGAGGCACAAACTATTGGAAATCTCCTCCCTAATGACGATGACTTGTTTTCTGGGGTAACTGATGGGTTTGATTTCATGGGCCAATCCAATAATGGCGAAGATATTGAAGATTTAGACCTTTTTAGCAGTGTTGGGGGGATGGACTTGGGAGAAGATGGCTTCCCTACAGAACAGAGAGATTCTGAAATTTCTGGAGGAAATCCCAATAGTGAGCTGGATGGATCGATTAGTTCAGTTGCTGGGGAACACCCTTACGGGGAACACCCATCTCGAACACTGTTTGTGCGTAATATAAATAGTAATGTTGAAGATTCTGAGTTACGGGCCCTTTTTGAGGTGTGCTGTTTTCTTCTCGTTCTTTTGATGATTTAATTCATAATTTCATACATATCTTGGGCATTTTGCTCTCCTATTGTTGACCCTTATTATCTTGTAATGTTCAGCAATATGGGGATATCCGCACTCTTTATACAGCATGCAAGCATAGGGGCTTTGTTATGATATCATATCATGATATTAGAGCAGCTCGAACTGCAATGAGAGCACTTCAAAACAAACCATTGAGACGTAGGAAGCTTGACATACATTACTCGATTCCAAAGGTATTGTTCTGCTCTGGTCATTTTTCCCAACGCAGCCACTAAATTATGCCTTTCTGCTTTTGTTGCTACATTTCTCAAATTTATGTCATTGCAATCATGACAACTATTCAAGTCATGAGACCAACCCCCACCGTCTGGAATTAGGGCCATGACTGACCAGTAGCAGCATACTACCAAAGGGCTGTGCTGTGGTGTACCAAGTGAAGTGAGCATCTGTTTATGGTGAAAGCAATTAAGAATGTGGCTGATGCTTCAGTTATAACTTGTGAATGATTGTGTAGTTGTCTAGGTTCACAATCAATTCTTGGACTGTCAATGTCTAGATCCAACGTCTGCCTGGGTCATGCACTTTTTATGCATAGTCTTAGTCCTTATTGTGTGGTTGGGATAGATTTCTCCAATCTCTTTCTCATCATATTTGCGTATCTATAGCTCACATATCCATAATTCATTAAGCAAGTAGATAAGTGAATCATAACATGATCATTGCTTCTCAAAGCATACAAAGTTAAGCAACCCATATTCAGGAGCTTGGAATTTTTATTAAAAAAAATAAAAAAAATAATCATGCTATAACTTCATGTAACACATCTCATGAAATTAAGTTTAAAATTCCGTTCAAAGTATAAGATCACTCAGTATATATCTGTCATCTTCTAATTCTCCTTTTTATGTTTCTACATGAATTTGATGCACACACATACAATACAATCATGTTTCAATACAACATGTTTTCATTTGTTATTTTCATTTCACTAATGTTCACTCTGGTAGATCTTTCTCACTTAGCCGTTGGTGCACAAGTTCTGTTGCTTGACTTCTCATGTTGGTGGTTATCTTTTGTTAGGACAACCCTCCAGAGAAAGATATTAACCAAGGCACTCTTGTGGTTTTTAACCTCGATTCTTCTGTTTCAAATGAGGAACTCCGTCAAATTTTTGGTGTATACGGCGAAATTAAGGAGGTAAGATTATTCTCTAATTTTCTGTGTTGGACTAAAAAGTTGAACTGGCATGTCAGTTATACACTAATCCTTGTTTCTAAAATGCAGATCCGTGAGACTCCACACAGAAGCCATCACAAATTTATAGAATTTTATGATGTTAGGGCTGCAGAGACTGCTCTTCGTGCATTGAACAGGAGTGATATTGCTGGGAAGCGGATTAAGCTTGAACCAAGCCGTCCTGGGGGTGCTAGACGGTGAATCTCATGGACTCTTCTTTTCCTTCTTGATCTCTTGTTCTTATCTTTTTGGTTCATTTTCTTGCTCATTTTTCACTTTATACCTGCCCGCATCAAAATGAAAATTGAATGTCGTGTAGTTTATGTTTTTGCATATTTTTGTGGGAAGAAGTTTATAATCCACATTTTCATTTATTAATACTTCTAAATTAAGCTTGTCATTGATATTTGACTCTGAAGAGCTTATTTTAATTTATGCTGATTTTAGTTTTTGACCCCTTGTGTAAAGCTTTGTTTTTCTTTTATTTTCTTGTTTCCCAATGCAGTTTGATGCCACCATTTCCTCCGGAAATTGAACAAGAAGAATATGGTCCATATCTACAACAAAGTAGCTCCCCTAATAACTCTACAATAGGATTTTCTGGTATAATTACTGCCATTGAGATTTTCTGTTCATTCAATATCGATTCAAAATAAGTCCATACGCTTTTATTGCCTCACAATATTTGTTTACAGGTCCAGTTTCACATCTGGGAATCACATCTTCTGGCATGGATAACGGACCTGTTCAAGGGGTACACTCAACAATCAGAAGCCCTGTTAGTCCATTCCTGGAAAATGTGTTCAATCATGGGATCTCATCTAGTGTTCCTAACAGTTTACCCTCTCTGGTTAGAGTTGAATCACTTGGCAATCAATCCAGTCTCCACGAATCTGGCCACTCACAGGGCCAGCTTAAATTTGAATTCCAAGGAACACCCAATTTTCATCCTCATTCACTTCCAGAGTATCATGATGGTTTAACTAATGGTGCTCCGTGCAATTCTCTGGGCATGGCTGCAAATATTATTTCCAGACCAACAGAAAGAATTGAGAACCAGCAGTTCTGCAGATTAAGCTCAAATGGGCATCCACTTGAACTGAATGGTGCCGGTAAGTGCAATGGATATCGAGGTACCGTTGTTTTCTTCTATGCATATCAGTTTCCTGTCTTTTGTCTGGTCAAGAAATGTTGTAATAGTAATGTTAAGTATTTTTTAAATACTATGTACAAAAAAGAAACAGAGAAAAAGTTCTTCAGATTAACTTGAGTGTTTAGATTTTCTCATATACTGATGTTCTAAATCACTGACTACTGCTCCGTTTCTCAGTTTTTGGTTCTTCCGGAAATGGGAGCTGTCCCCCTCCAGGACATCATTATATCTGGAGTAATTCAACTCACCGGCAGCCTCAAGGCTTGATGTGGCCAAACTCACCAACACTTGTCAACGGGTTTTCTACCGCTCATCATTCCCCACAGTTGCATGCACTTCCCAGGGCACCATCTCATATGCTGAACACTCTTTTACCCATAAATAATCACCATGTGGGATCGGCACCATCTGTGAATCCTTCTATCTGGGATAGACGACACACCTATGCTGGTGAATCCCCTGATGCTTCTGGCTTTCATCCAGGTTCTCTTGGGAACATGAGAATTTCTGGTAAATCACCGCATCATTTGGAATTTGTTTCCCAAAACATGTTTCCTCGTGTCGGTGGAAACTGTATGGACCTGTCTATCCCCTCCAAAAATATTGGATTGCGCTCCCATCATCCAGGGTGTATGATGTTTCCTGGCCGATGCCAAATGATTCCTCCTATGATGAGTTCATTTGATTCTCCTAATGAACGGGCTAGAAACCATAGAATTGAAGGCGGTTCAAACCAGGCTGATAACAAGAAACAGTTTGAACTTGACATTGACCGCATAATGCGAGGGGAAGACAACCGGACGACCCTTATGATAAAGAATATTCCTAACAAGTATGTAGTACTTAGCTAGCCATATATATTTTTTATATTAGAGTTCTTTCAAGTGTTTTCTTATCTTTACGAGGTTCCAATCATAGGTATACTTCGAAGATGCTTTTAGCTGCAATTGATGATCGCCATCGGGGAACTTACGATTTCATTTATCTACCCATTGATTTTAAGGCAAGTGAATTTTCCCTCGAAGAAGCACTTTTATGAGGAGAGGAAATGTTTGTTTTGTTTTGTTTTGGGGGCAGGGGACTAGAACTCAATTTGTTAATTTTGGCTGCCAAGCATGGAATAATTGGTTGTCTTTCCCTTTTGCTGTAGAACAAATGCAATGTGGGTTATGCATTCATCAACATGACCGACCCTTCCCTGATTATCCCATTCTATCAGGTTTGTTTTGTTAATGCTTTAAGAGTATGGGATTTTCCCTCTTTGTTTGTTTGTTTGTTTGTGTGTGTATGCTAATGTTGTAGATCTCTTTAGATACGTATTATCATTTGTAATTTAATGAGGCATATCGCTAATAGAGAGGAAAACTTAGGCTATGTTTGGTGTGCAACTCTAATCAATTTTCCACCCTTAGTCTTGAATACTATGTTTGGTAGAGGTTTTCAAATAATGATTCCAAATCAATTTCAAAATACATTTTAAAAATATGTTTGATAAACCAGTTAGTTTTTGAATATTTGGTCTACGCGGTCGTCCACCCGGACATCAGACATCCTCTCGGATGTCTGGCCGGTTGACCGGAACAGTACTTTTTGATTTTTTGTTTTTGCAATTGCCAATCGCCACCTGTTATTTGGAGAGAAAAAAACTATATTTGTTTTTTATATTTTTTAAATATAAAAATTATTTTTTTAGACCAAAATGACAAATTATTTATTTGAATTGAATTTTAAAAAGAGTTTGGTCATGAGTTTTGAATAGAATTTTCAATAGAGTTTTGAGTAATGTGTTTGGCTCAAGTTTTGAAAACTCTTTCAAAATTCATAACCAAACAACTTTTCTCATTTCATATGTCACATCAAAAATTCAAAACTCATAACCAAACAAATTTTTTCCTTTCAAATCATAATTTCAAAACTCACAAACTTAAAATACAACTCTATTCTTAAATCATAATTCTAAAACTCTACCAAACACTACCTTATTCTTCACAGGCATTCAATGGAAAGAAATGGGAAAAGTTTAACAGCGAAAAGGTCGCATCACTTGCTTATGGTCGCATACAAGGAAAAACTGCTCTCATTGCCCATTTCCAGAACTCAAGCTTGATGAATGAAGATAAGCGATGCCGACCTATCCTCTTCAACACTGATGGTCCCAATGCAGGTGATCAGGTATGAGCATTACTTACTCTATGCACATGTTATGAAATTTTTTACATGTTTTTAAAGCTTGCCATATCTACTTGAACACTAAAGCATGTCCAGAAACTTTACATAAAGCATGTCAAGTTGGTCGTGAATCTATCCAAAAATTAGAGAAATTGGTTTTATACCTATGATATTTCATTAAACTGGCATCTTGCATTGCATTCTCATTTTTTCTCACGTTCCATGAGATATTACACACTATGAATGTGGAGACACCAAATAGCACTTGTAATGTATCAATAGCACAAGTAAAAGAAGAGTAAACTGAGCTTATACTGGCTTTTCCTATCTGCAGGTGCCCTTCCCTATGGGTGTTAACATTCGATCCAGGCCCAGCAAAACTCGAGCCATTACCAGTGAGGAAAACGATGAAGAAAGCACATCAAATTTTCCAAATGGGGAGGAATATTTCAATGGGGACTCATCTTCAGGATCTGCCAAGGATTCGGACTGAGCAATGCTTTTCCTTTTTGTGGGCACTAACCCTCTAGAATGAAACCAAATAATATTTAAATTAAATTCACCCCAAATTTTAGTATCGTGTTAGGGGTGGTTAAGAGCAAGCAGGAAAAAAAAATTTTCTTTTTGGTGCTCCTTGAAAGCCTCCTAAAAATCAGAGAACGAATGCTTGAACAAAGTTGAATGAGTAAGCAGTTCAAAAAAACAAAGGAGCAACAAGTGGAGCTTTGAAGTTTTGTTCAACAGTTTTGGGAATGCTATTTCAAAATATGTATGTATAGGAGTTTCTGAGCTATGGAGAAATATTTGCTGCACTGGGAGGGGGCTTCTCTACTATTAACTTTTCTCATTTTCGGCTTCTGCTTCTTCTCTTCTCTTTTTTTTTCTTTTTTCTTTCATGTTGTCTGTTAAGAAGTAAAGACGAGAACTCAGGTGGTTAAATTTTTTTTGAAGTGGTGAACTGATGATGATGTCTTGTACAATTGCTTTGCGGTTCGGGGAGAGAGGAGAGAGATGTGAGGGGGTCTTTTGCAATGGCTTGTCACCTTCTCTTCTAAATGCAGATACTCTGCTTTTTTGTACTTACCTAGCTAGGCATGTTCTGTTTTGATCTGTTAATGTTAATATTTGGTTTATCTAACCACAATTGATGTTTTTTTGTTTGGGGTACAATTTTTGGATGAGCCATGTTTATCCAATAGTTTGTACTGCCTACTGGAACTGCTTATTCTTAACAGGCCATAACCAAAAGGTAAGGCATTTGGTGCAACGTTTTGAGACACGTATTATAAAATTGAGTAATATTAGAAATTCATAAATTTATATTCATAAATTTACTCATAATGATGTGGTACGGGAGTTGGGCTCACCATTATTAAGTGTACAACAAATTAGAAGTTGACACATATCTTATTACGTCATTATTGTTAGAATTATGGATATTTTTTGAGTCTCAAATATTTTCTTATAAAATGTCCCTTTCCTTTAATGTTTGAATTTCAAAATGGTTGAAAAAGTTACATATCTGTCTCAATCAAGAAATGATGATGAATGAGATGAAATTTGAATTTTTCTATGCCTTTTGGAATTGCAATAATTTCTTTGATGATCAATAAGGTGAAAGGATGGCTCTGTTGTGATTAAGTACATTGATCAATTGTAACGTGTGGGTTCTGCTTTGATGATAAGATGAATAGTTTGTGGTTCTGATTTAGTTGTTCTGATCTCACTTCAAAATAAGAACAACGTAGTATATCCACCTCACAATATATCAAGGCTTCCTTTGGAATTCGGTTTGCAAATTATGTTATTGGTTTAAATTTAAGGTTATAAACAACTTGTTAAATTAGTTATTTTTAACTTTGTCGGTTAAATTTGAATTTTTGAAAATAAATAAATAAATAAGCATACCAAACAACAAATTTTTTTTTTTTTAATTTTTTTTTTATTATAGTAAAATGGACTTATAAGTTAGGTTATAAGAGTTGCCAAACAAAGGCTACTGGTCCTTTTTAATTGGATCAATTTGGCACAACTTATAAATTGAAAGTTAGAAATTTTACAATTGAAATTATATGGATTAAATTTAAATAATCAAAAGGACGTGCCAAGATTGAAATTTGAGAAAATTTAAATAATCAAAATGAGATGCCAAGATTGAAATTTGACAACCTTACTCGAAGAGAAGAGTATTATTATTAGGGGTGAACAACGGATATACGGATTTGTCCAAATCAATCGAATCGAATCGAATCGAATCGATCTGTCGCATTTTAGACGGATGCATGATGACGAGCGGACGGTTGCAGATTGATTTTTTTTTCAATTTGCCTAGTTTTGGACGGATGACGGATTTGATATTCTTTTGGCCGCAACCGAACCGTCAAACTGCGAGCATCCCTAATAATTTGTAAAATTTTTTATTTTCAATTTGTTTAGATATTCTATTTGTGTTTCCAATTGAAAAAAAATTTAAATATTCTATTGAATTTTTTTTTTTAAATTGAATATATTTTTTGAATTGAAAAAACTAAATGTATTATTTATCAATATTTTTTGATTTTTAAATTTAACTCCAAAAATAATAAATAAAAAAGATAATATATGCGGGTTGGTTTTTGTTCTTAAAAACAGATATAGATGTAACAATACAGATGTATACAATCTCTACTACTGCTCTATTCATGGTTTTGGTGATTTGAATTATTTTTATATTTTAAGAATCGCAGATTATAGTACTTTATGTAATACTTTATATGGATGAGACATGCAGTGATTGTAATATTCTAAAATTTCCAATTTTCTTTCTTTGGATAAAGCATGTAGTGATTGTAATATTTTTTTAAGTTATTGACTATAATACTTTTTTTTTTTTACGAAAATACACAAGTTAAATTTTGTTAAGAATTTATAAAATTTTAAATCGTCAAATCGATTCGCATCTATATGTCAATCCTCTCCATTCATAACTGTCAGATTAATGAACAAATACGAATTAATTTTTTTCAATTCATCAATTAAGAGACAAATAATAAATTGAAAATTTCGTAATCACAACCCACCTCCGCCCCTAATTATTATTGTGGAGTTATGATTAAGGAAACATGCATGCAGAAGAACCTATTCTGTTATATTCAGTTGAACCTCCCCTGACTTTGCCTGATGATTTAGTTGAGCTACCTAGCTAGGTAGCTAGGTCGATTGTGGTACAAGTTGTCATCGTATCTTTTGTTTTACAGTGGTGATAGAGACTCACAAGACTCCCATACCCTCATAGTGAGAGAGAGGGAGGAGAGAGAAGAAGAAAAAATAAACACATAAAAAATCAATGAGTGATATCAATTGAGAGTTTTGAGCTCACAAATTTTGAAGTTTTATTGTTTGTTTTAGGCCAAGTTTAGTATGATTGAAAAAAAATAAAAAGTCAAAAAATTACTATTCTATTTAAGTCACATCATTTTATTTAAGTTACATCACCTCTCTAATACATCACTTTAAATCCAATCCAAATCTAATCTATATTTTATAAAAAATCATAAAGTACACTTATTTAATCTTTTTAAATTAGGCCTTAAATTTATTTATTTATTTATTTATTTATTAATTTTTTTTTGGGGGGGGAGTTATCCCAAACATACAAGTTTTTTTTACCTATCTTTTTAGCCAAATAGCCAAAAAGTTACTAAATTAGCATGTTCCCAAACGAGGCCTTACTACTTTCAAAATCGAATATATATATACATATATAGAGAGAGAGAGGAGATAAATTACACTTACCTCTTTTTAATTTTTTTTAAAATATATAATTAATTTTACATTTTTAATATAATTATACTAATCTTTTTTTAAATTTTAATTCACATAATTTTATATCATTTTTTATCAATAATTCATTAATTATATAAATAAAAAAAAATAATATTATCATATATTTTCTATTAAAAATACATATTTATGTTTGTTCATTTCCATATCTACCTACCATATACATTAGTTTTGGCCACTTTCGTTTTATTAAAAGAGAAGTAAGTATAATTATGTCAAAAGTGTGGGATTAATTTTATTTTCTTTAAATCTTAAGGGAAATAATTGTAATTTATTGACACATATATATATATATATATATGAAAAGGATTCTCTCCCATTTACTATTAAAGCAAAGAGGTACAGTTAGGCTCTTAGAGTTTATCATGAATCTCATTTCTTTTGGAGTTTATCATGAATCTCATTTTGATAAAACGTTTATTTTGTAAGATTTTGTTTGTAAATTATTAATCAGAAAAGCTAGATTGATCCAATATTCATAAATATATAATTTTATTATATTTGTCTTAAAAAATGATCTATTTTTTAAATTATAATTATGATTTAATTTTTTTTAAGACAAATATAATGATTCATTTTTTTCAAGACAAATATAAATATAGGATCAATTTGAATTTTTTTATGCATTATTTACATATATATCTTATCAAATAAATAATTTAAATTATCGAAATAAAACTTATAGGCCATGTTTGATTCACAACACTAATAGTGAGGTATTAATAATCCTATTAAATTAGTGTGGTATTAGTTATCCCACCCCTACCCCATTACTAATAATCCTACAAATTTGTTGGATTAATTATCCATTGGATTAATAATCCTAAACTAAAATGTCAAAACAAACATAGGATGATTGGGCCCACGGATTAATAATCCCAATCCTATGCTTTAATCCTTCCAATCAAACATGCCAATAGAGTTCAATTTCAAGACAAGGGGCCAATTTGTTTGCTGGTTCATGAAATGTAAGATGTGTTTATTATGTTATTTTTAAATTGTCATCTCTACCTCATACAATGGACTGGGGAGCCTGCCAAAAAAAAACAAAAAAACAAAAAAAAAAATGGTATATGATGATTGCATTGCCCTATAACTGTAAATTTGAAAATGGAATTCTATTAATGATTTAATGGTCCTCTTTTAAATGTTTTTAATTGCACGCTGCTCATGGGCATGCGCTCTTGGGAGTCCCTTTTTTACCCCTTTAGTTTCACTTTGCCATGATTTGAAACCGTTCGTGCACATTCTTACAACACAATTCAGCCTTCTTTTTGTTTTTGTTTTATGTTCTACTAATTCTTTTTTGTTTTTTTCGCTGCCGAAAGTTGATTGTGTTGGGGACTTTTCATTTTCATAAATTTAACTAGTTCTTATGATTAACAATTTGATATGGGTATGGCATCCGATCCGTGATCGGACTAAAGGGTACTGTTAGGTTCATGGAAGCTCATCATAGGTTTCGTTTCGATAATTTGAACCGTCAATATGTATAACTCATCGAGTACTATAGTCTTGTAAAAAATCACATTGATCAGATATTGATAACTACGTGATCATCTCAGATTTCTATTAACCGTTTATTTTTTCACTGTCTATTTTTTTTTTATACAAAAGTGATTTGATTATATAACTATTAATATCCGATTAATATGATTTTTTACAAACATATATTACTCGACGAGTTCTATACATTGAACGATTCGGATTATCGAAACGGGACCTGTGGTGAACCCCTACAAGTCCAATAGTACTCTCCAATCCGATCACGGATGGGAAGAAAGCCATACCCATTTTTTGATATTTACTTTGGGAGGTATTGGGAAGGAATTGACTGTAATGTAATAATATCAATTCATCTTTCTAAACTATTCAAACTTAGTTTTTATTATCGTTCAAGCTTTAATTTATGTTTAAGTATGATTTGTTTACGTAACAAGTCAATTTTGAATGAGTTGAATGAGTTGAACTCGAGTAGATTGATTTTTACAATGATGTTTATCAAACTAAGTAGTTAGTTATTCAAGTTTAACTTAATGTGTTTAAAATATGTTCACATTTAACCTTAATATGCTTTCATAATCAGTTCAAACACAATTCAAGCTCGAATAACTGGTTAGTTTTGATTATATTGTCAAAATGTCATAATTTGACAATATTATTCTAAAAATGTAAATATCATCTCTTCTATCATCCTTACAAAAAGAAAATAAAAAAGTTAAATTTAAATAATTTTTTTTATATCCCATCATGAAACCAATAAGAGATTTCATTAAAATTTTGACATTTTGTCAATTTTTATATCAAATTTGACATACAATTTTAGCAT